GATCCAGGGTTGGATCCAGGGTTGGTCTGGGTCGGATCCAGGGTTGGGCTAGGTCTGATCCGGGATTGGTCTGGGTCGGATCCAGGGTTGGTCTGGGTCGGATTCAGGGCTGGACTGGGTCGGATCCAGGGTTGGACTGGGTCAGATCCAGGACTGGACTGGGTCGGATCCAGGGTTGGACTGGGTCCAGAGTTGGACTGGATCAGATCCGGGATTGGTCTGGATCGGATCCGGGATTGGTCTGGGTCAGATCTAGGGTTGGTCTGGGTCAGATCCAGTGTTGGTCTGGGCAATCCCAGAGGTCCTTCCCCACCCGTGTGACCCCCCAACCCCCCGTTCCCAGGAGCGCACCCGCAGCATCGTCAAGTACGACCTCCGCACGCGCATCAAGAGCGGCGAGACCGTGGTGGGCGCCGCCAACTACCACGACACGTCCCCCTACCGCTGGGGGGGCAAGACCGACATCGACCTGGCCGTGGACGAGGAGGGGCTCTGGGTCATCTACGCCACCGAGGGCAACGGCGGGCGGCTGGTGGTGAGCCAGCTCAACCCCTACACGCTGCGCCTCGAGGGCACCTGGGAGACGGGCTACGCCAAGCGCGCGGCCTCCGACGCCTTCATGGCCTGCGGGGTCCTGTACGTGGTGCGCAGCGTCTACCTGGACGACGACACCGAGCACCTGGGCAACGCCCTGGCCTACGCCTTCGACACCCGGCGCGGCCGCGGCGCCGCCCTGGCCCTGCCCTTCCCCAACCCCTACCAGTTCGTGGCCTCCGTGGGCTACAACCCCCGCGACAACCAGCTCTACGTGTGGAACAACCACTTCCTGCTGCGCTACGGGCTCGACTTCGCGCCGCCGCCGCCCCCCGCGCCCGACGGGGACGGTGAGGGAGGGGATGGACGGGGGATGGAGGGTGGGGAGGGGGTGGTCGAGGGTGTTTGAGGGGGGGAATGGGGGTCCCAGTTCACTCTGGGGTCCCAGTTCACTCTGGGGGTCCCGGTTCACTCTGGGGGTGAAGCCCCAGAGCCCAGAGGAAGCCCCAAATGTTTGGGGTTGAGCCCCAGGGGTCCCAGTTCGCTTTGGGGGTCCCAGTTCACTCTGGAGGTCTCAGTTCACTCTGGGGGTCCCAGTTCACTCTGGGGGTCCCAGTTCACTCTGGGGGTGCAGCCCCAGAGCCCAGACAGAGCCCCAATTGTTTTGGGGTGAGCCCCGGGGGTCCCAGTTCACTCTGGGGGTCCCAGTTCCCTTTGGGTGCAGCCCCAGAGCCCAGAGG